CCCCCACTAAGAATAATCTGCAATCAAACTGAACAGGAATTCAGTGGTATGAGTTTGCCTCCGCTTCCTGCAATTATTAGAAGCGTCAGTAACTCTGAAAACTATGTTTTTCCACACTGGTTTACCCTAAGACTGAGCCTATAATTTTTTATCAGTTACCCATGTATATATATTCTGCTTTGGTATTTACAAATCTTTTGTCCAGACTAAACCCAAATTCATAATCACAAGCTCCTACAAAACCACCTCAAGTACTGCTACAACCATAGCAACCAAACAGGAAACCAAACATGGAAGAAATTACCAAGCTTTACTTGCAGCTTTTTTGAAGGAGAATTAAGTATTTCACCACTGAAATGGACATGCCACTTTGAATTTGCCTTTCTGTAAGGATTTATATAAAATGGGAAAGGCAGAATAAATTCTGACCCATGTATCCTCTATACTGAAAAATGGTCACGACAAGAATACTACAGAGATGGTCCCTAAAATGCTTGTTACATACAATTAAACAAGAACTGCCATATATTTTTCCTTAATTATGCAGCAGTCTAATAATGCAACAACAGCAGTTAATCCAGCAGTTTAACTTGTATATGGAGGCAATCAGGTTTATAAAAAGGGTGTGTATGAAGTGGTCCGAGTTTGGAAAGTACCAGATTATATAAGCATAAATATACTAATTAACAGATAAGAACTTCTCTGTTGAAAAAGCACCTAAATCCAAATGATCAGTAAGATCCTGAAGCATTACTTTCAATATGAGGTTAATCTAATGACTGTAGGAAAGTAAGATGCTGGTTCTTCTACACTGAACCTATGCTGTAATACAGCTTCTGAAGTGAAAAGGTGACATAGTTGTGGCACTTCACAAGTACGTTAACACCAAAAATGGACCAATGCAGTTCAATATTTAGTTTGGTAGTTAAGTTAGCTAGGCAAGAAAAAACAAGCTCACATTAAAAACCTGCAAGTAGGTCCTAAGATTTTATAAAATTAAGAAGATACCCATTAACTAAGGAGATTTCTGATCCCCAAGATCCTTCAAGAGAACAAGCCATGTGAGCTTCCCCTCCAGACTGAAACTGAACTGAGCATTTGCATCACAAAGGAATGGCTGACTCCTGTTTTGTCATGAAAACACACATTACTACTCTTCTGCCTCTTCACTAGAGGTGACTGATTTTCAGTCAAGAAAACTCAAAAGTACAAATGAGAAGAATAAAAGCTGAGATATCACAAGAGTGGTCACGTGAAACAAATGCAAGGATTTCACAAAGGACTAATCCAGCAGCACTAAAAAAAATTACAGCAGACAGATTCCTGCGTGGAGGATTGAGAGTAGTTGAGAAGAAGAAAAAAGATATCAATATTGCCTTTTTAAACAACACAATGCAGTTTGTGACACATGAGTTTGAAAAGAAAAGATAAATTTAAGTAAGTCCCTGTCAAAGAATGAGAATAAAGGTCTTGCTGAAAAACTTAATATCAGCAATTTCCGGCATTGAATTTATACACTCAGATGAATGCCAGGCAGCTTTAACAAGAAAGTGGCTGAAGTGTCTGCCTAAACTAGATAAACATCACAGTATGAATCTGTCATCTGGTGGAAACAGATGTACTGGTTTATTTATCCCAGCATGTCACTTCTACTCAAACCTTGAGACCAGAGTATATTAAACTAGAAAGGAAATTATGTCTTTGGGGTCTCACAACATTCCATCATGGTATACAACCCTAATTTACCCAAAACCTGCAGTTTTCTGTCAGGCAAATAAGAAGCTTTTCTACAATACTATTCAAATATCATGATCAATAAAACCCTTAAAAAAGCAAGAACTTGTCTTCAATTGGATGGGTGCATGCCAAGCCACACCCCATTCCAAAAGTTACACCTCTCTATCCCAGATTACAGTATTTCAAACTTCTCTATTAGCTCTAAATCAAGACACTAAGGAATACACAATTGTTTAAATGCTGCAGAAGAATTTTTATTCAGAAATAAGTGGACACACTGCACAAGTGCACCACATGCAAACAGACATGAAACAAGTCAAGATAATCAACACTGGCATCTGCTGCTTCTTTTTAATTCAACAGTGTCCTGTGTTTAGAGCTGAATCTTTTATTTTTTATATATGCTGTGATACAAACTATGTAACTACATTAAAACACAGCATTTACATAACAGTTCAAAAGAGCAAAACAAAACATGGCACCAAGAAGGCTTTTCCTCCATAAAGAGCTGTGAACACTTGTCTGTCAGCATGATAAATCATACACAATTAACCATACATAAATTGCATCAATATGCCTTTTAGTGAAAATCCAGCAGTAATTATGGATACTTTAAAAGGTACTATCCACATTAAAAAGTCAGTTACACAGCAAACCTTTTCACTCATATGAGGACATTGTGACCACCTGCTTCCCCCTCTTCAAGGGTCCATGAATACCATAGTTAGTGGAGCAACCATTTTTATGGCTGTAGGACATACTGTGCACAGAATATGCTTCAGCTAAAATGAGAAGGTAAATACCACAAAAAAAATCAAAATATTTTCACTAGGGTACAATTATTATTTTTTAATATTATTAAAAATTTACACAGGAATAGAGACCCAAATTCTCTCTCATCAATTAGGAAAACAATGCAACAGCTTAATGAGATTTATAGACTGCAACATCCTGTCTTTCTCTGTAAAAGCAATATACTAACAAGCCTGAAATATAGTAAAGTTTAGTAAACTAGAAAAATTCAAGTGAGGCTATTTTATTATTACTAAAATTCTTACTTTTATCCTTAACTTCACTATTATACATATTATTTGTCTTCCAATATAACCAAAGGAGGAAATAAAGTAGAAATGTGGCAAACACTCATAACAAGATTTCTCTAGTCCAAGTTACTTCATTTTAATAGCAGTATCCTAACAATCTCATTAACAAAAGATATATTTATTACAATATTACGTTACTGGTTACTAGTGTTTAATAATGAAATCTTAGCATCCCTGTTCTACTTGCTATAAAAAACTAGGGATGATGGCATTCTGAACGTATATTATAAATATCATGTAAATGTAGTATATTTGACTATTTGCACTCCCAAGGGGTATTTAATTCATCCTTATGAAACTAGACTTCAGTACTGTTAACTATACTAAGAAATAAAGAAAAAACTGGATTAGAAGATCTAATCCCAGTAAAGATAAAAAGCACTTACTCATCATTAGTACAGATCAGCAGTTTAATTCCAGTGCTTAGTTCTGTATTTCATAAAATTCTTGCCTTGGTCTTATACAGTCAATTATCATTACAGTTAATATATACAAATGAAAATTCAAACATATGGCTAAAATCCTTCTCCATTTCCTCTAACTGGAGCCATAAAATAACGGAGTCAAAACTTTCAGAGCATCTGCATTTTCAAGTTTTTACAAAAACCAGGAAATCTACATAAACATTAATGAGGGCCAGCTTCCAAAACCAGATGACCCAAAATTAATCACTGTCAAAAGCATATACATGAATTTGGCCTAATTTAACGTACTGAACCTGGAAACTGGATTCTAAGGAAAAAAATCCTTACCCCTATCAATCAATAGCTAACTCCCTCAGGTGACAGGGCCAAGTCCTTATCCTCTAAATGATTAAACTTGGGTTGCTCCACAAGCCTTTTGCATTTGCATCCCTGGTTTTACCATTCTCATGATAGGACCTGATGTTTAATAACCTATAAAACTTGTGACAAGTCTACTGAAACAAAGATGGAATTCAAAGTTAGAGAATTGAGAATTCAAATTATTTTCTGTTCACTAAAACTGCTATAGACCTACACTGCTTTTGCTGCAAAAATATCTTTGGTCAAAGACAAATATGACCCATTTCACATTACGCAGTTCCACAACTTTTCTTTTGGTTGGCTACCTTGTAATAAAAACCAAAAGATTACATACTAATTGATGATGATAATTAAGGTTTGCTCAATTCCACAGTAAATTTAATTCCAAGTTTATCTTAAAAATATCCAAAAGTGAGTGAAAAATGGGAAATTATACATTTAAGACTGATTTCATGTGTTTGTCAATAACTGAGACAGCTTATTTCTTTTTTCTAAAAAGAAATCTCTTAATACAAAACAATTAGTTTGCTACTATTAACTTAAAAGGCAATATATTTCCTAAATACTCTATGACACCACTAAGAGTTAAATTTTATGGTAGATTTATCAAGGCAGCATTACAAAAACAGTAAGATGGAAACCAAAGGGTAAAACAAGAAATTAACTACATGATTCTTATTTCACTTACAACTTCAAAGTTTCATAGTGCAGGTTAAAATACAGTAACTAGTTACCATTTAAGATAATAAAGCTAGTTCTAATTAAAACAAATTGCTAAAGTATTGATATTATTTATAAGCCATAGAGCTTATACTCAACATTTCTAGGTGAAAACTGCATCCATTTTGTCCATGCTGTAAGTTTCAAAAGTTTGTGAGCTTTTCTGAATGTTTTTGCAGTACATAAACCTTTAAAGAAAAAAGTTAACAGGGCAAATACACAATACACTAACAAACAGTAATAAACTAATGGTGAAGTGTGTGAATTGCTGTTTTACATATAATGTTGCTTTTGCATTGTTTTCTATATTTAATCACCAGTGCAAGGTGTAGACTTCATGTAAAAAATAACTACATCCTAAGCAAAGTGTACAGTTTGGGGTCATTTGACAGAAGCACGACAAATACTTTAATGTATCGGATGTACGTGCAACACTAATGTAGCACAATGGTATCATTTAAGGAAAATTAACTTCATTACTAGACATGCAAAATATCTTGGGCTTCATTACAATTGAACATGTCTAGCTGTCATTATTATTTTGATCACGTGTCTGTTTTGACTTTTCTTTCTGAAATTAGTATCTATGTTTACCAATCTAAGTTAGTCAGCTACACACACAACAATCAACAACAAAAAAAATCACCTCACTTACTCTATTTGCGCACCATGAGCCACAAGGGCACTTATGGAATCCATACTACCAGATCGTGCTGCTTTATGAATTGGAGTTTCACCAACATAATCCTGTAAAGACAAACTACATTTTGTCAAGCATAATGTTTCTAAAAAATAAAATATCATTATTACAGTATTCACATTTATTAAGATAGAAGATACATAAAGTCAGCATTTATTATTAGCTAGCAAATACATCAAGTACTTTATCATTACTTTAAAGTCTGCATGTCATGTACATTAGACTTTCAGCAAGAAGTAACACTAAAGGCATTTAACTCTCAAGCCTTATCCAACAGCTTGGCAATCAGCAGACTCATATTCAGCAAAACTGGTTAACCCTCCCAACAGATAGCACCGTAACACATTATTCCAACACGTTCCTCTTCCAGCACTTTCATTTCCCAATACACTGGACTGCTCAAGCCCTCTTGAACTCGGGTGCAGCAAGGCCCACTCAGCCCTTGAGTGCTGCACCATCAGTACTTGGCAGGAGGAGAGAGCACATACGCAGAGCTCTACTGTAACAGGTATGCCCAGTGTTCATGGGACAGGCCAGATCTCTCCCAACACATACACATTGACTCACATCCTATATATTTGTCTTTCTGATTTTATCAACTTAAATTCCATTATTCTCAACCAGCACATCCAATCATTAGATTTTTTTTCACATAATGTGCAGACATACTGGGGGCAGAGTACTGCTTTTCAGGCAACTCCTCCCCATTAACTGTCTTACAGGTAACAGGGAGGATCTACAACAATTTTACAAATTCAAGCAAGCAGCAGGTAAATTCATGCATCATGATGTAAAGACTGGAGAGGAAATTCAATACTTGCAATTAACCATCAGTATTAAGAATCACAGAGAAGAATCTGTAATGAAACATTGCCTTGGAGTAGCAAGTAAATGTTGTTACTGGTTTGTTAATGTGATTCATCCTCAACACTTCTACAGTGTAGCAATGGTTTTTTGGTTTTGGTTTTTTTTTTTACTTTGTTTTCTTCCCCCTTCTCTTTGTCTCCAGACTTTTGACAGACTTCACTAGTCTGTTCCAGATATTAAACATGTTCTAACTGTATGTGCCTCAGTTTAGCTTCCTTGTTCTCTTTACTAAAATATCAACATTAGCTAATAAATTAACACAGCACCTTTACTGATTCACCAGAGTTTACACACAACAGTGTTCATGCCTAACTCCACAGGACTAGTTACACTTTAGCTCTACTTGAAATGTGAACGTATGCAAAATATGATCATACTACCTAAAAGCAGTGGCTTTACTAAATACCTTAAATTGTTTGCCAAGCTTTTGAGAAATTCAATCCTATCTTCTAGACCATGTAAGTATAACTTGAAAATTAATTTTGGATTATAAGGTATGTATCCTCAATTTTCTACTTGACAGTTTTATTTCACAGTGAAGTATCTTTATAACAAGTTACAAATTCACTGAGGGTAACCCAGCTTACCAGTGAAACATATTCAGCCAAACTGTGAACTACCTAGCACATCCAGCAGGGAACAATAATGGCACCAAAGTTTACTTTCTTATAAACTAAGGAAAATTGTTGAAGCTGACAAAGTTTGAACACAGAAAACAGCAGCAAATGCCTTAGAGATTAGAAAAGGGTTATACAGCCCTTCTTCCAAAGTAGATGTCTGTAGCTGATGGATAGAAGACTGCCTTCCAATGAAGTTTATGCAATTTTTCCTATTTATAGCTTCCCCCGAAGTAACAGGAAGGGAGAGCAGTTTAAGAGAGGATACAATATTTTTTAACATTTTTTGAACTACCATGCATGGAAATCTATTCAATGCTAATTTATCCAGAAAAAAATTTCTTTGTGTAGTAAATTTTCCAATCATGAAAGCTGTCTTCGATTCATCATTCTGTTATAGCTTCCTCCCATCCCCCCTTTCATTAAAGTGGTGAAAGTATAGAAAGTGATTTGCCTCTTTTGGTCAGCATTAGTATCTACTAGCCCAACACTAAGTTAAAAGATAATCACTCAATATCAAGTTCAGCTTAGGGTTAGTCAGTCATGCAAGTGACAGAGATAACATAATCTCCTCATGCCCCATAAACCTGGCACACTGCCCCACAGTAAGATCTAGAGAACTGAATTAAACATTGCTGTGGGGAAACACAAAAAGGATGAGAAAAGACTTTTGCAAAAGGACTCCCCAGCACTGTGTTAGAAAAATAAGCTAAGCTTTAGCAGCTACCACTTCCATCACCAAACAGAAAAGATTAGTATTTCAGAAGAGAATACATGTCTTGAGAAGGGCTGTTTTCAATCACTGGCCCAGAAAACCATGTGTCCAAAGTTAAGGAATTCAAGAAATACTTAAAAAATTACAGAATACACAGATTTAGATTTTTATAGCATTCCTTTTAATTACAGCACCCAAATTTCAGTCATCACTACTATTATGTCTCTTTGAAATTTTCCTAAGGGGCCAAATATATTTGCACTGAAACACTTTCCTAGCTCTCCTCAGAAATTCTCTCTGGACTATAAACTAGACTAAATGGAAAATATATATATATATATATCTCCCACTGAAAGATAGCTTTTCAATTTACTTATTTTTCAATGCATCCAAATCCATGCATACAGAAGAAAACAAAAGTACTCTGTATGAGTCAGAACAATTCTGTTTTGATTCAGCAACTGGAATGGATGTGACTGAACAGGAAAACAAAGTAACAGTTTTTTCTAAGAAACTTCTGAGAACAGTTCAGGGTCTAGCCTGTCATCAGCACATTCTTATGTGTAAGACACTTCTTCCCTATCTCTTTCTAGCTATGTGGAGAAAAAGTAGTTTTTTATTTTGAGAAACTCTATAAATTCGTGAATACCCCTGGTAACACCTCATAATCCTTTAAACTGGTCACACTCCCCATCTGTGCTTGAGTCTGATACAATCCCTTTTGCAATAATATTCCAGGAAGGGAAGCATCAATGACTTGTACTGGCCTTTCACAACTAGAGCAGAACTTGTCCCTCTAGGGACAAGCTGCAACACTGCACCAACAGCCCAAACCTGTCTCACACTCTAGAGGATCCATTATAAATAAATAAATGAATAGAAACTAAAATTAAGTTACAATAATTTGGCATTCAAGATAATACATTTGACTGGTTCTGTGGCTACTAAATATTTTGTGCTCTTGAAGAAATGGCAAAAAAGATTCATGAAGCATCACAGACAAACTTAATTTTTGCAACTCACTGCTGAATGCCTTCCTCTTTCCCCTTGGAAAGAACAGCTACCCTTTCACACAGACAAGGGCAGCCTTCTCTAGCTTGGGGTCATGACTAGATTACCTTTGACTTCTATTTCATTTAACTGAATAAACATCTAGCTTCCTTCCTTATGCTCTTTTTATTCACGTGGCTGAAGAGTCTTTAGATTTACTGATTAAAGCCAAAAAAAGCAATCTCAGCTTGATTAATCAGTTTCCAGTTCCTCACTATGCTGTTTAACCTCAAAAGACATTTCCTCTACTGATTAAATACTTTTCTCAAACTCTCTTCCCAGGCCTCTTTAGTGTATGGGTATTTTTTCAATTCACCTCAGGACAAGTTTAAAGCCATTTTTTACTCCATTTTCCCTCCTTCTGTCTTTTTGGGACCCAAATTCTGTTGGCTTGAGGATGGCCCAGTAGAATTCAGAGCACATTTCCACTTTGTTCTCCAAATTCCAAGTCCCTAGATATGATTTAATTGATTTCACTCTCTGGTACCTTTACATTCCTTCCATTTATCAAAGAAAAAAAATAAAACACAAAACAAAAAACCCAAAATAACCCACCCAACCAAAATCAACTTAGTTGCAGGAATTTATTTTTAAATAAAACACACACACATATCTACACTGGAAGCTTTCAACTATGTGTAGTGTTTTGGCTGGGACAGAATTAATGTTCTTCATAGTACCTGGTAAGATGTTTTGGATTTGTGACCAGCAAAGTGTTTTTTTAGTGCACAAATGTCTAGCTAAAAGTGGGCTGGGATGTGGCACACCTGGGACCACTGACCCAAATGAACAGAGAATTATCCCACACCACACGACATCATGCTCAGCAAGTAAAACAGGGGCTGTCATTGCTCCAGCACTGCAGTTGTGAGCAGTGCAGTGGTGAGCAATAAAGCTTTTTGGGCTGCGAGGTTTTTAAAAATGTTTTATCACTTGATTTTCTAGGATTTCTTTTTCTTTATTTCAACCCATGAGTTCTCACGCTTCCTTTCTGATTCTCTCCCTCCCCTCACTGTGTGGGGGGAACAAGGAAGCAGCTGCGTGGTGCTTAGGTATCCACTGGGATTAAACCTCAACAATATGAAGCACTTGTAAAATACTTCTAGTAATGATCCCTGACTAAGACACAGAAGCCCTTTGATAAAAAATACAAACTAACTCCCATTCCTTAACTCAACTCACTGAATTTCGAGCTCTAACAGATGATCACATTTCCAAACACTACTCATTTCTAAGTATCAGTAACCTACCCTTTACAAAGATAGGAAGTAGAAACTGAAGAACACTGAGTGTTTTTCCTCTTTTGCTAAAAAGGCTTTTGAGTACAAATGAGGACTGGTGAAATCTTTATCTGCATTTATCCTAATTGTTTAAAATAAAAACTGTAATACAGCAAAAGAATGTTTTCTTCCTCCCCACCAAGGATATCAGCCTGTTTACAGCTCTTGCTGCTGAGGGTAGTCTAACCCTCCTAAAACTATCTGCCACCACTGTCATGTGATGGTAACTGACTGCATGAATAGTAAGTTGCATCCCCTGTAAGGGTGCAGTATTTCTTTTCCCTTCTCTTTATGACAGGCCAGACAACACTTCTTTTGGCCAGTCAACAAAGGCAACATACAATAGAAATGTTTAATAGGCTGAGGCTAGAGGGAAGATAGATTTAAATGAAATTAATGGTTTTCTAAATCAGAAAGTACTCATTATTATCTGATGTTAATAAGTACAACAGCCCAGAATCAATCTGTGTTGTGACAAGGATAAAAAACCAGAAAAAATCCTCAGGAAAAGTAGCAGGGTAATTGCTTTGCACTGTTACAGTGAACTAGAGCAGGCAGACAGCCAAATGCAGGTCCTGAGTCACACTACTAAGAACCATTAGCAGGCACAACCCGCTGAGGGGAAAAAAAAAAAAAAGAATATTCAGAAACAGTGTAGATAGAACATTCTCTTGAATCTGCTGCTGATTCAGACAGACCATTGCTTGGCACTTCGGCTTTCCTCCTGTACATTTTATATGGTGATCCTGGGGGGAAAGAACTGCCCACTGATGAGACAGATGTGACTCTAGCCAGCACATACAGTTATGTAAGAGGGCTGGGCATCACAGGATATACTCACAGAATTTATTTAGGGAGCAAAGTACAGTTGGGACAAACAGTTTTCAGCATTTGTCCTTCATTGCTGCTGCCTGAGGTGTCCTGGGCAACTGTCACCAGCAACAATATAAGACATTTTTAAGTTTTCCTAAACTTCAGGGCAGGCAGCATGAGCTACAATACCATACCTCAGGGCAGATATGAGAAAGCATGCATGCAAATTCTACTGAATACCGGAGGTTTACGGTAAAACTGAGAGACTCGGGTGGATTCCTTTTCAGAAGCTATCCTTTTCTTTTTCCAGAAGTTAGTCTGTAGCCAATGACCAGAAGTCAGTTTGGAAGGAAAAGTTTACTAGTTTAAATATCAAGCATTCCCAGATCTTTCTCAGCATGTGTTTTGTATCCAGTGTCCATGGAACACTTGTCCTCACACAAGCATTAGCCAGTGACTATGTCTGTTTGGAGTACAGCATCAGTCAGCGAGCTGGAAGGAATAAACAAAATACAAATCAGGAAATAGTGCTCCAAAAGCTCCCAAGTGTGGGTGGAAGCCCTAGATGATCACCTAAAAGTGCTTGTAAATTAAATAAGGAACCAAGATCATTTAAGGAGTTCAAATCAGACAAGACTAGTAGAATTGGATTGCAATTCAATAAACAGCTGAGGGAACTGGGGATAGCAAAGCATGCACTGTGCTTTACATAGTCATGTAGGAAACATTCCAACTATCTGTGGGATGAGTTTTCTGCTTTAGTTATCACCAAGGCACACCGCCTAGCTTTCAGTGCTCGTGCATGTGAAAACAGTGTGACTGACCAGTGTGTGTGACTGCATCCTATGAACTTAACAGACTTTTTTGTTTCTACTACCATTTTAATTAACCAGAGGTATCTTATTTTATCACTGACCTCTGGTCATAGGTTCAACTAGTATTTTGTGGGGGTGAAAAAAAGTTACTACATTCAAGTGTAACTTGAGCCTACCATTAACAACATACAAAGCACCCACAGTGCCAGCTCTATTGTATCTGTGGTCTGCCATTGCCTACATCTGCTGCAAAAGTCTACAGGATACTGTCTATAGGGTATACATCACTATCTGAAAACCTGACAGTGTGGAGGACCATTGGCTCTGGTGACAAGCCATCAACATACAGACCTCCTGAGACACTGGCTTGCCTTAGTAACTTCTTTAAGCTGGAATGAGTCTCCTGCCCATTTTTAACTGCATTATACTACCTTCTGCTTCCTTTTATAGTCATCTGCATCTTGCCCTCAGCACATGGAGAGATCTCTCCACACTCTTCTCTTCTTCTGGGAGCTAGCTGCTACTTTCTTCTTTGCTACAACCTCACTCACTACATGTGATTTTTTTTCCCCTCATCATGTTCCAGGACATCAAGAGCTTGTTCTTCAACTCCATTTCAACCTCACTGGTCAGTTCTTCTCTTTATCCTCATAGCTGGAAACTTTCATTCTTCTCATTCATTCACTTTCATTCATTCTTCTCTTCTCATTTAGCAGTTATTTGCATATCTTTATTCTGTGCATGCCATGTTTCCTCTCTAATCACAGTTTCTTTACATTCTTACCTGGTCTCCAGATGCATTTATAGTTCTTGTATTTTCTCTTCTGAAGATTCTACCACTATGCAGCAATAACTTATTGCATAAGTTACTTTTGTCAGGTATCAAGGAGAAGATGCGATCTATAGCCTCTGCATCCAGCCACCTTCATTTTTCTACAATTCTCCTGGTGTCTCACAGCTGTTCTCAATGCACCAGACTTCTTTTCTGAAAACTCAACACAAACTTCCCCATTTCTTATTTTTGCATAGCTTTAAAAAAAAAAAGAACCAAACTCTAGAAATGCAAATGTTTTAGTTCTTCAGCAGACTTAGCTTAACTCTACTGCATATAAACTGCAGTCTGGCCCTTAAATATTTTAAGATAAGTACGATGCAAGATTTAACAAGCCAGACATTTTATGGATGCTGTGCTATACCACAGCTTTTAACAACAGCATATGCTGTAGTATTAATTACTCTCACAGAATATTATTAAAAATATTTTTGATTACAATTAAAAAGGATTTTATGTATGCCCAGCATACATAACAGATTCATTCAGTACTTCAAACATTTTCTTAAAAAGCATGATAGTTTTTAAGCATTGATTCTGTTACTGTACCAGAGTATAACAGTCCTTTCAGGAATTTTGCTATATTAATGCACTATCTGCTACCAAATAAATTACATACTCAAGTAAAACTAATGAAAATTATAGTAAAAAAAAAAGCAAAAGAAATCTTTAAAATCACCCATTAATTCTTTCTTAGCAAGTATGTTTCTGATCTATTTTCAGAAAGCTACTAGAAAAGGTTTAGAAATAATCTCAAAGAAAAACAACATAAAACCATATGCACCTTAAAATAAATCAATGCAGCCCTTACTAGTAGTTCGATGCATGAGTAAGTCATGAAGCACCACAAAGGTCTCATGGTTCTGTAGCTAATGGTAATTTTTTTTTAATTCTTAGCATATTTAGTAAGTATTATGTTCCTCACTACTCTTTTTCTTGTCCCTACAGCAGCACTACAATATCAAAGTATTTGCTAATGCTGCCAATACCAAGGCAACATTACCATTTAGTTCAAGAAGCAGCAAGATGTCAATTCCTAAAACAAATATCCTCCAAACCCCTAGAGGCTTAAAGGACATTTATTCATCCTAGCTCTACTGTAATGTAAAATGTCTATAACTGATCAAGTCATGTGACTTCAACTGATGTCAAAAATAAAGTATCTGTATGTTAATGTAAGGATCATACATGTCATTAAAAGGGATCAAGACACTCCTTGCAAAAATATGCATACGTGAAATACACATTAACCCATACCTGTTTGTTTATGTTGGCCCCCACTTGAATCAACCAATTCAGGCACTGTGGATGTCCTCCAAAAGCAGCAATGTGGGCTGGTGTTTGAGCAAAACGTGTTGTACTGGCATTTACAGAAGCTCCAGCTCTTACTAACTGCATTAGGCACTCCAGCTTTAAAGACATGAGGGAAAATAAAACCAAAAACGTTACACAGATGTGCTATGACATTAGCATGTTCTAAATAAATATATAAAACCTAGAAGAACTAAACTTACTAGTAAGACTACATGAATGAAAAACAAGACAGAATATGAAATTTAGGATTCCCTCCCTCTTCCTTCACTCCTTCCTCATTTGGTCATAGACTATACCTGAGAAGTATTTAATTCTCATCTCCAAAATTGAGTTTCACCTTTAATTTCAGAAAAAAGGAAAAAAAAAATCATAAACACTTTAATCCTAACTACAAGAGATATTCAATTCACTTTTGTTAAGAGGGTGGAAAGGAAGGAAAGAAAAAGGGGAAGAAAAAAAAAAAGGGGCAAGTTCTGATCCAGCAAACATGATACTAACCAGATATTATTAGATAACATTTGCCAAAACAAAAGTGTTGTTAGGAGATACATAGATGCTTGGAATCATACTCTCAGGAGAATTTATAGAAAGCTGTATCAGAAAAACAAAAGATTTTTCATTTATTTAATGTATCTCTGGAGTGACAAAAGATCAGTCAAGAAAACTAATACTTAAGAATATATATAATATGCTAAATCTATAAAAATAATAAATTAATTCCACCATTTTCTTGTTATTTCAGATAAGAAACTGTTAAAACAGGCTGCATGTTTGTGGCACCACTTTCGAAAAACTGGAGTATTTTGCCAAACTAAAATTCTACCCTTTTTTCTTAACATACTAACAAGAAGTGTCAGATAACCAGATACTATTTTTAAAGGTTCGTAAGTTCTCATTTATAGAAACTAGGCAAACCATGACTACAATGACCTCAACTTTCAAAAATAGTCAAAACAACACTCCTTTCCTGTCACACAGTTACATTGTCTTGTTGATAGGAAAAGGAACTCACTATGCTGAAATAAACAGTTTAGTCTAGGCATCCATTTACTGTGGGTAGAAAACAAATACTACTGCACACAAAATACAATAGTAAAACAAAGACCCTTACACTGGCTCAGGCATTGGTTCATATAAAACAAATCTGTGGGTGGCTCAGTGTATCACAGAGAAAACATCAGCCACACCACAGCTGTGGAATAGTCTGTCCATAAAGGAACAATTAAAAATCATCTGAATGTGGGTTGGCAGCTTGACTCAGAAGCATCAACACCAGGGTTATAACATTCTCCTCTGTTGCTGCACATCAGCCTCTCTCCCACTCTTAACCTGTAAATCCTGATCTTGCTGAATTACACACATATATGAGATAGAAGTACCAACAACCACTGTCATTAAGTATTTTATATTAGTATTGCAAATATGTTGTGAACTTTGTTTCCTTCCCTCATGTAATTCAAACAAACACGTATGAACCCTATCCTTATACAGAAATAATTTTTTTGGACTGCAGTGGAGTTAAGGCTGGACACAGTTGTACCATGAACTCACTAACTGCATGAGGTAAAAGTAAGGATAACTGGAATATTGGATACACATGAATCTTGCTCTACAAACATCAACATTGCCAAAGTACCTTTTCAAAAGAAAACATGCACTTCTGTTGGAAAAAAAAAATCACATCAAAAAACTAGTGTAAGAAAATTTCTAACTCCAACACTAGACTACTGAACTACATTTTGTATTTGCCAATATTAGACTTTTCTTGATGGTCACATGTTAGCACCTGTAATATTGCTGTTAATCCTTACTACTTATTAATTAAATTGTAACACTGCAATTATTAACAAGTCATGTGATGGCAAACACCCCCCCCAGCTACAACAAGAGGTTCATCTGTGGTAACTGAAGGCAAAGATATATTTCAGCCAGTTTTTAGAACAATAGACTTTATTAATAGAGTTAACTTGAAAACACTTCCAGAGAACCATTACAACTTCAGGAAAGAATAATACTTCCTGCACAGGCACCAGGCTGAAAGAATTCCTTAATTACACATGCATTACAACCCATCAACTGAAAAGGAAAAAACACAAACTGATTCACTAGCACTGTCCTGCACTGCTTAAATCTAAGATGGCCACACACCATTATTATCCTTGCAACCTGATTTTTTAAACACTGGGGGTTTTTTTTAAATTTTTTTTTTTTTTTTTGCATACTCTGACTTTAGAGTCATAGGGCTTTAACAAGGAATACAACATTTCATCCCACTAAAAGCTTGAGTACATATCTTCTGCATCATGGCTGTCAAAAAAATTGCTTCTTCCAACATTATGGAAAGACGAGATGAATTACATTCATGAACAGGAAAAGTCAACATGACAAAAGCACCTCCCCTGATCATTTACGCCTGAGATCAGGACACACAAGTCCACTTTCATTAAATAACCTAAATTTAATACAGTGGATATTTTCCAACCTAAAGCAGAGGTTAAACAGATTTAGTGAAGAAAGACAGGCCTCCACATAAGCCACAACGCTGGCAAAATACCAAGCAAGAAAAGACAGGCATTTTTATCTCTCCTACTTTTGTTCCAAAAGAAACAGAACATGTTTACTACTATTTTGCTTCCTATAATGTAAGCAGACAAATGACAAAAAACAAAAGCAGGAGAAAAGCACACCAAATAGATGTGGTCAGAGAAAATAAAAATTCAAGTGACTAAAAAGATTAAGGTTAGTTCAAGATCAAGTGAATTAAAATTAAGACCAAAATATTTTTTTTATGCAAGCCCTGTATTTTCTACCTCTCTGATAGGTTTTCTAGATTGTTAGTATTTTTACATTCTGACCCACCTTCTCAGAAATCTATGGAATAGATGTAATGGGGTGTAATTTAGGGCACTATATAATTAACTCCAATTAAAATGCAGGAACTCTAATGGGAGTTAATTCATCTCAAGAGACAAGCACTTTTCTGCAGACAGGGAATGCCCTGAAAATGCAAACTCCACCACAGGCACTCAACACAGCAAGTAAATTTGCTACTATCTCTAAAAGGAAGTCTGTGTTGTCATTAAATGCCTAGATATTACAATTAGAAACACAAGCTGCAATATCCATCACCTCCAATTGACTCTGCTGATATTTTAAGTATTACCTGCAAGCTGTAGAAAGAAGTATGTTTTACAGCAAGTTATTCAAGAATTTTGTGTTTTCACTTTCAGTTGTAAGAGACCCCATTTTTACTGGTACTAGTGTTACACCAGTGTTTCCTCCCCCATAAGCCACCTTTCCTCTTTCACACATTCATTTATAACCATCTTGACCACTGCTGCTACTTCCTTTCTGAAGCATATCTACAACTACAGGCAAGAACGTAGTTTTAATACAGCTTTACTGTAATATTATTCTGTACTGCCCTGTGATGCAGGGAGAGCCATCTTCCACGTTCAACCTGAGCCACAGGCAGGGGGAAAAACTCTTTGAAGCTCACCAAACCTGGACACATACAGACTGCTGTATGTGCAGGCATGCACATGTGTACATGTATGAACTGGCTTAGATTTCATTGCTTACAAGTAGTTCCAGAAAAAAATGAATCATTTTTGTCTTTTCAGCCTCCTACAGAGCTACAGTGAGAAGCAATACATGTCTTGGTGGACCATGTTACTAACTGGCCCTATTTCAGACAGACATGAAGCTCTGTCATCACATTATTTCTTCCAGGAAAAAAAAAAACCCCAAAAACCCCAAAAAATTAAACAAGTGAAAAATCACACAAAATCTAGAAAAACAAAGCAGTGAAGAGAAAGAGACCTGTTCAGTGTTAATGAATACTTCAAAACGAAATGAAAAATTCTTCTGGTTTTCAAATGTTTATTTTTGATGAATGGGAATTTGGGAAACAAAAAATACATAAATATGAATATAAGTCACGCATCTGAGCAGCTCTTGTGTCACTGCTGGCAACACTGTTAACTGGTGAAAGCTGCAAGTGTAACTATGCCACACAAACACAAAGCCAATCGGGTTTGGGATCCAATTACACTTCTGTAACTTTTTCAAAGTGTTGAGCAGTCTTTGGCTCTGAGAAAGGAACACAACTTAACTAGACTATAAAGTATTTAGATAACTTCCACAAACTGCTGCCTCGATCTTTAAGATCTTTTAGGCTTTCAGGAAAAAAACATATAAGCAAAATCCTATAAAACCAATTTATAACCTTCGTTGCCTTTTCAAGTCTCATTTCATCTGTCAGATTCCCCTCCCCCATATGTAACACCACTCCCCTTTAAATTTTGCCCATAACTAAGAATGAATATGGCAAATACAAGCACACAACATGTTGCAGGCTGACTTGTTCCCTTTGTTTGCTATTTCTGCAAGAATCTCTTCAACAGAAACTGGAACGCACACAAAAGCTCACTCAGCCTCGGATAGTTAGCAGAAAGCCGAAGATGCCTACAGGAAAAAACAAAACAACACATACACTATCCAAAATCTATATCAAATAACCACTACCTCGCAGAAGCAAGACTGCCAGAAGCCCATACTGAAAAGAAATTCTTACAAGACAGAGAAAAGAAACAGAACACTGTAAGGCTAATTAGTACCTTAATATTTTCTGCGGGAATACTTCACAAGGAAGATAAAAGCACTCCACTTTTTTCGGAGTGCAGATTATTAGCCTCTTTCTGAACAGATAAAAGACCATTATACATTTGGGATTTTGTGGGTTTAGGGTTATTTTGTTTTGCTTTATTTTAAGACTGGAAGACTACTTAGGTAAAGCTGCTTCTAAAAGCTTCTCAAAGAAGCAACTGCAGATAAGATCACACAACGTATAGAAACCATCTCCTAATGTCCTTTTATAAACCATGACAACTGCCTAAGTACATCAATCTTCCTCCTCTGGCACACAACCAATAAGCAAATAGAAGTATATGGGAAATGGGAGGGAGAACAAGAACAAAAGCCCCTTGAATTCTGAAGTCAAACAAATCAATGAGGAAAAAAAAT